CGAGAGAAATGCAAGGTTGAGTGTGTGTCCCCTGTTATGGATGGGGTCTTGACTTAACTGAGTTAGGTCCATAGCCGTCATGGAAGCCATAAACTCCCGAGCTGACTCGGATGTCTTGCCAATGGAAGACAGATTGAAATCCCCCAGGATAATCAGTGACACTACTAGAGTAGACAAAAAGCCCCATGGAGAAACATTAATTCCATTTTTAAAAAATTCAGTTTTAAGCCTATTCTCCCCCATCCATCTTTCAGGACTGAGACTTCAATGGTATCACCAGCTTGGGGTAGCAATGTAGAGCTCTGCATTATAAACATATTGATACTGGAGAACTGCCAGCTAGGTTGGCAGGAGGGATCAAGTGAGGGCCTAGCTTGGAGTTGTTGTGTATCCACAAACAGCATAAGAATCGCCTCACCCCAAAACCATAAAGCCTTACTTATCTGGTCAGTTTCAGGGGAAGGCAAGCAATCTGATGAGATTCTTACGGCATTGTATTGCAATGCAGGTGATGAACAATAAATTTTAAACCTGAAGTTATTTATGAGCGTTCTGGTTGCTTGCACCTGACATGTGATGAAACCAATCCCCAAAAACTTTTGATGATCTTGCTTAGCTTGGAATTCATGTAAATGTTAAATAGCTGGAGAGAACTGACCCTTACAGCACTCCACAGGAGCTCTCCTGTCCCACTAGCACTGACTGGAATTTTGTTAAAGAAAGTAGAGGAACCAGTGCAATATAGCCCCATTTATATACATGACATAAGATAATTTACTAGCATAAGATCATGGTATGAACTAGAAGTAAATAGCAAGCTGTAAATAGAGCACTGTTACATTTGGGAATAAAAGACTTTTGTTCCAATCCCACCTCTGCTATGGTTGAGTTGATATATCACAGGATAGTATTAAAATTTTTGTTTGGTTTTGGCTTAGTATGAAGTATGAATCTTTCCACTATAGCTGGGTTGGGGGTTTTTTTCAGCAAAGAATTTATGAAGGCATATTGTTTCTTTAAAATTGCATCTATAATTTTATGAACCAGAAATGGATATTCAAAATTCCTTCCAGTTTATTTACCTAGAACTGAACATCATCTAGCTATTCTAACTCCATTTTGCAGGGATCATATGAGCCAACTTAACTTATTGTGACCCCAAGTTGACTCCCAAGACATATGTTTAGCAACATTCAAGGGCAGTTCAGCCCTGTCTCTGTCATGTGCTATTTATTGCTCAAAAGCATGCCTCTTGTAAAAATGAATAAATATTTATACTGTACCAGAATAATTAAAAAAACATGGCTTGTCACAATAATCATAGCATCAGATCATCCAACAGCCTTTCTGACAAATGAAGAAATCAGTTAATTCTGGGCTACATCACATTTAAAACATTCCTTGCTTTGTTGTCCTGTCCACCAAGATTCTGGAATTTATTGTTAACTTGTGTAAACCAGAAAAGGGAAAAAAGGAAAAAATATCTACAAACAATAACAACATATTTCAGTTAACACTTTATGAGCTACTTTAAGAAACTCGGTGTTCTTAATTTTACCAGTGCAGTCCTGGTGCTTATTTACTTATTTAGTTGTAAAGAAAGCTATGTAGCCTCAAAACTGAAGGTATTTGGATTGACTGAAAATAATTTAGTAATAATTGTTTCCAAGGCTTCTGGCCTTGGCTTCAAGGAAGAAGATTCAGAGCAGTATTTGATTTGTACAGTGAGTTTTTTGATAATACATAGATTGAAATTGAAATGTACTGTCAATTTCCAGTGCCTATGAAAACAGACCTTTTTGGGCAGGGTTATGCAATGATGGAAGATGGTAGATACTAACCTCCACATTGAGGAAAATGGGATAAAACCTGAATTTAATTTAAATGTAATTAAATGTAATCAATTAAATAGTTAATATTTCTCCAGGCACAAGTACTCTGCAGATTCCCCTCTTTTTATCACTTCAAAATACAAGGCATTTTGGCTAAGTAAACATTGTTGATAAATTGTTTAGGTTTTTGTGGGTAGGCAAGGCCACACTTTCGGAAAGGAAGGGTCTGCTGCCAAATTAAGAGCCTGATATACATAGGAGGTAGCCTATTTCTGTCCAAGATTTGAGCAACAATAACATTTTAAAATAGCAAGGGCTATTTCTTTCATACCATACAATTCAGTAAAATGTCAAGTTACAGGTATGGAACATGAAATTGGGTTTTTGTAAGACAAGAAAACCATTTGAGTTAACTTTAGAGTATGACAATACATATTTAATACTTGCTTATGTATCAAGAGCAATATAAAAGTATTAACTAGTTTGGTCGAGAATTATTTCTCTGAGAAATTATTGGCAATCTTATGGCTCATGTTATCGATTACCAGTGATCTATCATTTATTAGAAATGCAGTTACTTTGCTCTAATTTTAAATATTTGTTTTATCTAATGTTGATTTTAGGATACGTATTGTTTGTAGTTGTTTTTCAACAGTTGTCCATGTTAAAAATTGCCCTTGTGGCTTAGTAGTGGAAATTATAGATGATATAAAATAAAATTTAGAAATACATGTATCCGGTATGGGTTTTATATCTTTCCTGGTGTTAAGCCAAGGATATCATGAATATGTCCTATCTCTTGTTTCCAGGATGATCTAAGAATTCAGGTGATGAATATGAGTCATCAGCTGAATGAAATGGAGGCTGGCCGCGACCAAACACAAAGCCGTATCCTGCAACTCCAGAAGTATTTAGCAGACTGTGAGGAAGGTCTCTTCTTTTTCTTCTTCTGTTACTTTATCCCTTCATCCATAAGAATTTCTTTACCTATTTGTTTTCTCACCTCTGGTTCTTTGCTTGTTTAGCTGGATAAAGACAGTTACAGGGCAAGTTGTATACAAAGCAAGTGAAATGAATCCCTAAAACTTCTGAAAAAGCTGCTTGGGGACTGCTGCTTTAAGTGAAAGAACAGTGATATCAGGGCAGATGTTTGATCTCCACGCCAGATGTTTCTCTGCTCTGAATCCGCTTTTTTCCACATATGGATCAAGATTTTGTGGATTTAGACATTCATATCTGGACTGAGCAGCAGATTCAGGGCATGGAGAGAGGTCAGGAAGAGGATTAAGTTTATCTCTGCTTTAATTGCTTTTCTTCTTAACTTGGTAGCTCAGAAAGGCTGCTTGTCATTTAAAAAGCAAATGCTGGGAATTAGTTACCTATGCTTGCAAATCATATCTACTTCTCATGACTCTAATCAAGTGGGCTTTCCTAACAACTATAAAAACAAAACAAAATCAGATATCATATAGGACTTGTGTTTTTAATGTACCAAAAGATTGTAAGCAAATGTCAGGCACTCTAATTCTCATTAGATGGAAATCATAATCATACCACAGTTAAACATGTGAAGCTCCAGCCTAATTTTCTAATGCAGGTAGTTTGTGACTTACAGCCATTTGTTTAGCACAGTGTTTCTCAACCTTGGCAACTTGAAGATGTCCGGACTTCAATTCCCAGAATTCCCCAGCCAGCATTTGAATTCTGGGAGTTGAAGTCCGGACATCTTCAAGTTGCCAAGGTTGAGAAACACTGGTTTAGCAACTATTCAAAATTGATGCGGCACTGAAAAAAAAGTGACTTACGTGTCCTCACAACTGTCGCAGCATCCCAATGAAAATTCAAATGCTTGGCAACTGGCATGTATTTATGAGGGTTGCAATGTTCCAGGATCATGTGATAGCTATTTGAGACCTTTCCGGATAGCTTTTGATAATCAGTGGAGGAAGCCAAATTCACATTCATGTGATTCCTTTAACAACTGCAGTGATTCACTTAACAACCATGGTAAAAAACTACAACTGCACAACTCACTTAACAAACATCTGGCTAGCAATGGAAATTCTGATCTCAATTGTAGTTGTAAGTTGAGGACTGTCTGTATAGGTGGGCATTGAAAGGTTTAGGAAACCTGGGGGTCTTTTTCATGAATGACTGTTTTTACTATATAGCTTGATGAATAAACAAATGCTTTATTAAATTGGAGATTCCGCCATTTATGAGAAATGACTAATTATAATTGTTCTGGTATCACAGCAAGCTGTCTATGGTTTCTATAGTGTACCAAAAATTAAGAGTGTCTTTTTTTCCCCATTAAAAACAACTAAAAGACGTAACTATATTTATTCATTGAGGATCATAACATGATATGGGTGGCCTTTATTGTCCAGGAGTTTATTGCATTATTTCATATTCTAATTGATCAGATAAGTACAGTAATACTACTACTAGACAACACTGCATAGTGAGTAGGCCATTTGGTGTTCTTTTGATGTTTTGGATTACAACTCCCAGAATCCTTTGTCATTAGGATGTTGCTTAATGGGACTGAAGCCCAAAACTTCCAAAGGCCACAGGCCACACACCACTCAAACTGCAGAACAGTATTTCTCAACCTCAACACCTTTAAAATGTGTAGACTTCAATCCCAGAATAGCCCAATCACCATTCTGGGAATTCTGGGCGTTGAAATCCCCACATCTTAAAGATACTGAGGTTGAAAAAAAAACTAATTTAGATAAATGATTTCAGTGCTTAATCCTTGCATTTTGCAACTTTCTACACTTAGGTAAAAGGGGAACAGATGGCCGTCTGAGCAGTGCACAAGTAGCACTGATGCTGCAGGAGGAAACTATTCGCAAAACAGAAAAGGAACGCCAAGCATCTGCAGAACAGGTGGTCAACCTGGAACGCAACTTACGTATTTGTCAGGATAGGAACAAAGAATTACAGGTGGGCATATTTGCTCTTTCAGTTAGGAAAAGCCATAGCACAACTTCCTTTTCTATGACATTCTGCTTGTTACTCAAAAGCCCAACCAGCTCTTGAAAAGTAAATAAATGAACAAAGAACTTGCAAAAAGAACAAGATTTAAAGAAACCCCCAAAGGTTTAACAACAAAAGGCATTATGAAAAGTTGTTAACACACACAGTGTGTAGCCAAAGATGCTTTCCTAAAAAAATGCATATGGTGAAATACAGTAGGATTTACTCAGAGGTGGGCATGGCCTCGGGTGGCCTAGTTGGCCTCCTGTACCATGGGGGGGGGGGTTGTTCACCCTCCCCAGGCTCTGGAACTTTTTTCGAGCCTCCTGGAGGGCAAAAACTGCCTGTTTCCGGACCTCTGGAACGTCAGGTAGGCTCATTCCCCCCCCCCTTCCTGAGCCTCCACATGCGTCCTGTACTTACCCAGCATGATGAACGGGCTGCGGTGAGACTCCTGGGATGGGCGGGATGGGATGGGAGGGTGGGGTGGGCATGGCCAGCCAGGGGTGGCTTTTGGGGTTTGCCAAACTGGGCAGAATCCTAGCCTGAACCTGTGCAAAACCCCAGGAGCCCACCCCTGGATTTACTTCGGAGTAAGTCCACGTCATATTGTGAACAGGAGATTGAATGGAATGACTACTACTGACTTTTGGAAGTAACGGATACTAAAGAATTTTGTAAAAGCCAGTCCACAAGATAAATTTTGAAGAATTATCATCGTAAAAACAGTAATATTATTTCTTTGATGGGGGGAATTGTAGAAAAGCAGTTACATCCTCATTTCTAATAGAGGTTTATATAAAGGAATGCAAAATAATCTCATAGAAGAATTGCTGATTTTACTTTTATTTAATTGTTTTTATTCAAATTGGAACTCAGTATAAACAATTTGCAAAGAGTTTTATCTAGTATCATCTGCCTTTCTAACACTTCTTTTTTATTTTCATCGCTCTAATGCTTTCATAAGGCTATTATGTGGTAAGTTTTTATATAAACTGTTGTATTGTGACAGTGATCTTGGCTGTTTGGTAAACAAGGATATTTTTATCTGGAGAAAAAATTGTAAAGGTGTTTCTCAACCTGGGGCTCTTTAAGATGCTTTGCTGGCTGAAGAATTCTGGGAGTTGAAGTCCGCACATCTTAAAGGGCCCCAGGTTGAGAAACACCGCTTTACAATATTATTCACTATTCATCATGTTCTAATCTATGTAACATTCTTAATTTACAAAGAACAATAATATTGATGTAAATATTTTAAAATATATATTGCAGTTAATTTATTTCAATTATGATGTATCTATTGTTCATTTTGTTAATTAACATAATATGTGCCCAAATCCTTTCCCCTTTGTTCTGGTAAGATTTCTCTTTTTATTACATCTTAAATTCTTCACATCTGATATATACAAACCTTTATAATTTTACTTGCCCATATTTTGCTTCCTCTTCATTTCTCTAAAATTAAGAGATTAAATCAATGCACAGTGAAATCTAGGTACAGTGTCACACTTGCTTTTCCTTGTACTGTATAGCCAAACAGAACAGCAACTCATATAGCCTTAACCATTAGGAATTACATCCTTTCTTAATTTCTAATGAATGGATTTTGTTATATACAGTAGTTTTTATGGTTTGTAAAGAATCCACAAAGAGAACTTCCTTATTAGGCAGACCAAGAAGCAAAAGTATTTAGCAACGCAAATCATAGCCATATCCAGATTCTCCGTGACTAGTTCCAGCAACTTTCTAAAAGTAGAAGCCCCAAGTGGTAGTTACTAGGGACCAAAAAGCTCAGAGAGGACGGGCCAGCAGGGCAACAAATCTGCAGCAAGGAAAGAGTCCAAAATTGCAAAGAGCCTCCCAAATGCATTAAAAGAAAAAGATTGAATGGAGAGACTTATGCCTCTACTGAGAGAGAGCCCATAAGGATAATATCCATCTGGAGTGGGTAAAGACCAGGTTCTCTGAATTAGTGTTCTCATGAGTGGACATTGCATTAGTCTGCGCTCTTTGACTAGCTCTGAATGGTGAAGATTATACCAGTAGTCAGCAAAATGAGGCTTTAGGTGACACTCCTAGATATAAGTTGTTCCCATAATTTAGTCTGAAGTAGTAATGTGCCTCTTTAGATACGTTTCCCAGGAGGGGAGGCATTGACAGGACCTAAAGATTCTTCTAACTTTTGCATTTTAGGATACTACTGTGATACTTTTGTAGTAAGACTCTAATGTCACCTGACTCTGGTAGCTAGTCCACAAAGTTTGTCCTCCTCTTAGCTGGTCTTGTGGTATTCAACATGTTTTTACATTACAGGAGAAAGTCAAAGCTTTTAAAACCAAGGAAACCAAACTGGAAACAGAAAAATGGAAGCTAAAAGAAGTTCTAGAAGCAGCAGAGAGCAGGGCCACCAAACTGGAGCTGAGCAACAGAGCTGTGGAAGGAGACTTACAACGAACACAGATGAGCTTGACTTCAAGGGATGAAGAGATCCAGTCCCTACTTGGGCAAATCCAGGAACTTCGATGCCAGTTAGGAGACAGGGAGAACAAAACTGCACTACTGCAGCGAGAGCTTGACCACTTGACTCATTCACTAGCCAGGACTGAAGGCACTGAAAGTCACTTTAAAGACAGGGTGCAAACTCTGTCTCAAGCACTCTCCAGTGCTACGGCTGGAACGTCCTCCCTGCAGGAGAACATCTCACAACTCCAAAAGGCCCTGACAGCTGCAGAGCAAGACCGTCGACTACTCCAGGTAGGAAAACCCAGTTGTTCCAAACAATCGGTCATCCTTGCCTATACATCTCAATTAAGCATCTTACTTTCTAAACTCCAGCAAAATTGTGCTATGCAAATCAGTCTCATTCCAATACTGGGTATCTGTTACAAGTGCCCTGCTTTCTTTGGAGAAAAAGAAAAGCCATGTTCCAAAGTATTTAAATGAATCAGCTGATATCAGAATCCAAATTCATTTGGGTAAGCCCCCTGCAGCATCTCCTACTTGTAATGTCCCTTTAAAATTTCATTGGTACCATGGCTCTTTTTTCTCCAATAACCCAAATTCATATGTCTTGCCAATGTGCTTTATCTTAAACCATAAACGGTGATTACTAACTTTTAAAATATCCAGGAAGGTATGAGTAGAGGATGTACTTTGCATGCATATTGACCCACATTTAGTTCTCAGTGTCTTCTGATACAGCTAGTCCCCTGCCTGAAACTTCCAGAGTTGCTGTCATCAGTATAAGCAGTTATGAACTTGATGGGTTAAAGATCTGACTAATTAAAGGCAATTTTGTGTGTTCCTGATCATTTCTGAAAGAATAAGTTTAAAGAAAAAAGGCATACTTTCCATTACTTATTGTAGTACACTTTGTTCCTTTCTGATGGTCTGAGCTGGAATGGAAGCAATGGAAGGGGCAGGCTGGCTTGCCAGATTATTTTTAATCATAGAAATGGCCACTACTGCAAGCATTGTATTATTTAACCAATGTCCTTGAATTATTCTTTCAGCAGATTTCATTTCTATAATAATAGTAATGATGATAATGATGATGATGTATGGTTCATTGATATTGCAATACCTGGTGATGCACAAATTGAAGATAAACAGCAAGAAAAAATCACAAAGTACCAGGACTCACAAATTGAAGTTGAGCGACTGTGGAAAAAGAAATCGTGTGTTGTCCCGATTGTAATTGGAGCCCTTGGAGCAATTCTAAATTTAGCTGACTTGAACATTCTGATTCTACAAAAAAACGCTTATATCCTC